TACTTTTGAGGTGATGAGCGATACTTGGCAAATTATAGAAAAGGAGCGCTGCTTGAAAAGTTTGAGAACCACTGTGCTAGTGAGTCCGTATGCGTATAATGCAAGGATGCTGTAGCAGGAAAAACATGGGTACTCCTGAAGTATGCGCACCAAGATGTCGCATAGCCTGAACCCTAACCTGATACACAACCTGAGTTCAGGTTGTGCGACATCTTGGTGCGCATACTTCAGGAGGTCCAAAACATGTCTATTCAAGAGTAAATTTGTTTATCGCTGCATTCAAATCGCACGATTCCTTTAATTTAAATGATTCAAGAGCCTTGCTGCACACTAACACAAATATATTACTGTAACGTTTCGTCTGACCAGGGTCGGACTTTATCAGAAATACATTGTTCAACTATAACAAGAAAAGCAGTTGCATGTATATTCAAACAATCGGTGTGAAACTATAGGAGTTACGCATGTTGGAAAATAATAAAAACGACGAATTCTTGATTAAATGTCCTTTTTTGTCATTTTTGTGAACCGCTTGTCGGAAGAAGTCTGAAACGATACAGAAATACATTTGTGTTGGTGTGCAACAAAACTCTTGAATTGCATGTACTTTTTTATTGGTATCGCTCCTTGCTAACCAGTATAGGTTATTCGCGTTTCCCTTCACCATGAATGTGTATTTCCAGTATGGTGAAAATAAAAAAAAATGCTGACTGCCGTTTTCGCCTTTATATAATCTGACCTATATCCAGGGTTGCCATCGGCCTAGAGCCAAAAATAAGCACTGGTGTCTAAAGTTTATTTTGGGGGGTACTTAACAACGGCAGAAAGGCGGTTTAAAAATGTGAAAGGAATCATACACAACTAACACAAGTCTCTTCCGCACTCTAACCTTTTACTATTAGAAGTCGCTTCGAACAAGGTTGCATGCAGACCCGAAATCGCGCAAGGCCATGGAAAACCATTAAATAACGGCCACACGCAACTTCTAAAATGTAAGAAGATACAGAAAAATAGTCAGGTACACACAATAAACATCCAGCATTCAACATCTTGCACAGGAAACAACAACCCAAAAGGCGTCCGCGCATATTCAATGAGATGCGCAGCCATCTAACCCAAAATGATAATTTTATATTAAACGCGTTGCGTATAATAAAAATACATCGTCCCTCGTTTCTACGGAAGCTTTGTTCGCAAAACATGAACAAGTCATCCATGTTTCTAAGACAAAATAAGCACGTAACTCAAAAATAAGCACTTTTCTTAGAAATAAGCACATCGTTACTTTATAAGACACACGCTAGAAAATAAGCACCAATGTTAGAAATAAGCACGGTATGGCAACCCTGCCTATATCCATCCCATCGAACGTATTATAAACATACATTGTTGTATTATAATACAAAACAATTGACCTACTTATGACATCATAAACATAAGGAAAGAGATTTCGTCTGCGTAAAATGGATCGGAATTAACAGCGATTAACAATAATTCTATGAAGATTAAATTTTATTTCTCGTTCGCCCTAGTTTTAGAATGTATTGCATTAGTAATAGCCGACTTTGATTAGTTTTAACAGCTGTCTATGAAAGTTATGCCAGATTAACTACCTACATTTCCGCAGACTATATTTTTCGCTAGGTCGATATGCTGTAGCAAGAATAAAGATGACTGTTCTGGGCTGCACATTTCACATTAGTTATCATTTATACTGAAGATTGAATAACGTTTCTTATGAATGAGATCTTGTGTTGTAAGTTATTTGTGAGTGAAAGAGCACTTGGCTAACAAGCGAATATTGCGAGTTCAAGGTATTGTTGTATTCCTTATCTTAACAAGCAGAGTTCCCATAAAATAATACTAAGTTGCGATTACTTTTTCGGTCATTGCATATTTATAAACTGCGAGCGTCCAAGATAGGGTTGTGTTTATTGCAAGCGAAAGCCGACAAATCGATCCTTGACTCGATCTTTTTCATAGTTTCTTCGGCTTATGAGTTGTACTATATATCAGTCTTTTTGAAGCGGATATACATAAAAATAGATACGTTAGGAGCAAAAACAAAGGGACTTTATGGGATCTATAGCGCTTCCTTGAAAAGACAGAATTATCGCGAAACTGTTTTTACTCATGGATTGTACTTAACCAAAATAAATATTGAAAACTCGTTGAAGATCACCAAACTCATCTACTTCATTAAATTAAGAACAACATGAACGGATTAATATATCTTATTGATCTGCATTGAATCTATTTGTAACTTTACGATTTTGTGTATTGCGAGGGGCGATAATTAGGTATAAAGTGCTGTAAATGGACACATAAAGTTTGAGAACCGCTGATTCACATAACTTAAAAATGAACTTGGCGAACTTGACCAGATGGTACCCATGTGCCGTTTATTTCATACAGAACATGTCGCGTTCATCAAGGCGGGGAAACCGATACCTTGGTATCGCCTCAGGGCTCGAGCGAAAATGGGAACTTTGGAAACCACCGCGTGGGCGACCGTAGGGCTGTCGTAGGTCAATATTTAGTTCCTTCGGGAACAAAATGCCCACAATCTGTTATAAACCTCATTATGTCGAGAAGCATTGACTGTAATAAAATAGCAGTAAATATTTTAATATTTCATAATCACGATTATCGCTTTTCTGTAGAGAAAATTTGGACCTCCTGAAGTATGCGCACCAAGATGACGCACAACCTGAACTTAGGTTGTGTACCAGGTTAGACTTCAGGTTGTGCGACATCTTGGTGCGCAAACTTCAGGAGTACCGAAAATTTACTGTTATAAAATACGGTACCAGTAGTTGTATCAGCATTTTGAGGTAATTCGGAAAAGGATGTGGATGCAGTTGTCCTCGATTTGAGCGAATTTTTTTTTATTAAGGAGTAATTTATTTGCGTCGATCCTTTTTCGACTTAATGTATTTCTTTTGCTTTTTGCACGGTTTTACACACGAAACCTCAGATAGCTAAGGTACAGCTAGGTGGCAAAACCACAAATGAGGGTCCATTCATTAATTATATCGCTGTATAAATACTTGATAGGGAAATCACTTTTATGCCGTTAACGTGAATGATAACTATGATAAAAGCAATTATAATCACTACCTATTACATTACCTTGAAATTCTCTTATCTTTACTGTATTTTTGAGCAGTACGGCTAACTGCATTAACTTAATATCTATGATAAGAGCAATTATAATCACTACCTATCACATTACCGCGAAATTCTCTTGTTTTTACTGTCTTTTTGAGCACCCAACCCCTTACCGCGAAATTCTATTGTATTTACTTTCTTTTTGAGCAGTACGTCTAAAAGCAGAAGACGGAAAATGATTGTGGCTTTGGAAAGTACCAACGCGTTGGCGGAACAAAAAACACTTCAAATTCTGGTTGAATGGGCTCGTTTGGCAGATTTTATATCTTTCCTAAAAATCAAATATACTGTCGGTAATTGCAGTCCAAAAGTTCTCAACAGAGGAGGCCATTCTAACGGCGATTGTCAGAGTCTTGACCAGGAATTTTTTAAAAGAGTCTGAAATTTCTAAGTGCCAAGTTAGTCCGTTTCAGATGGCGGGAAACGTGGAGTTTAAAAAGTCTTGACGGTCTAAGTCAGGGTGGTCCAAGGTTGTCGGCTCCGCGGGCTACAAAATTATATTTGCATAGTTCGCGGGCCACAATAGTGCCAAGAATATAGGTAAACAGTGCAATACAAAACAAACACTTTTATTGTGCAAACACATAGGTATCAGGCATAGTCATTCTAGACTAATAGAATCCGCATTCACTTTTTAGTTTTCTCTGATTACTAAATTGTTAGCATATTATATAGCATATTAAGTTAGATAGCCAGATAACAATTCAGACTGCCAAGCACATCATTCAAATATCAATTTCGCTAGTTGCTTCAGCTAGCATAACACTGGTTAATTCAGTGACATTAGTGATGACAATATGTCAAAAAAATTTTCTGATTAATTTTATGACGAACAACACGAAATGCGATTTTTTGATTACTCTCCGAATGTGACGCGGGCCACAGATAATCAAGCGGCGGGCCACGTGTGACGCCCCTGGTAATTGCACTCTAGTTGTCCTCTAACGAAGAGGCTATTCAAATGGCGATCTGGACGATATCTATACCATTCGTATTCTTAACCTACTATCTATGGAAGTCCAATATATCGATATGGAGGAGGCAATTCGAATGGCCATTGCGACTATATAGTAGTATAAACTCAAAGGCCTAAGACTTGATGATGGCTAATGAATTATGCGAAGGAAAAACATTGAAACAAAGTGACTGAGATGCAAAGTAATGGTAGGCAAGGCCGGATGTAATTAGTAATAGACCATGAAAGTGAATTGTAATGCAGAGTGCATCGGTAGAGAAAAATTTTATAGAGATATCAACGTAGTTAGAGAAATATTTATTTAGACATTTCCAGCATTTTTGTCGATATTCGAAATAGCCTTTTTACATAATTGAACCGCATATATGTCCAACTGGATTTGCAACCAACGAAAAAGGATCTTTTATTCTGGATGAAAATTTGATACTATTTTTTTTCACGCCATGTATTATGACAGCATTATAGAAATTCCAACGTTTTCCCGCCATAAATAAAATTTTATTATTTGAATATCTAGATTCAGATTTTTGATTGTTTTTTGGCTGCATATTTTGACGTCATTACAGGAATAGCAACTTTTTCCCGCCATAATTCAAATATCTTTATATAGATTATTAATTTTAATTGTTCTCTTCCACACATTATGACGTCATCAAATGAAAAAAACTTTTCCCGTCATGAATCAAATTGGAATATATATAATATAGCTGAATTATATAATTTTGATTGTTTTCTGGTGCATATTATGACGTCATCATAAGATTAACAACTTTTCCCGCCATAAATTAAATTCGAATATACATATAAAGTATTATATAATCTATTTACAGCCAATAGTAGATATAATTAGTCGAAAGAGAGTACTAGCTTATGAAAATGAAGATTTTTATCGTGTTGTCCTGCTTTGTAGCGGTGAGCCTTGCTGGTGTTCTCACTATGACTAAAGAGACGGTTGACGACGAATGGAACATGTGGAAAGAAAAATTCAGTAAGTTTTGAAATTAGTTAAAATACTAAACAAGTCCTGCATGTGTACTGTCTATCACAATAATCTGGACAGACATGAAATAGATGAAAATACGGTACTTATGTAGTATGTATGGACACCGGAACGTAGTATGTGTACCAGGTTAGGGTTAGGCCATAATCTGTGGTACAAATACAGCGGGAGTCACTTGGCTAGTCCCCGAACTTGTAATAGAACTAAAATAAGGAAAATTGGAATAAAATTCACACGCCAATAACTAATCGACGTTTGTGTTTCCATTCAGATAAATTTTACTATGATGAGAAGGACGAAGCTGTGCGTCAATACATCTGGCAAAAGAATAAAGAATACATCACTAGCCATAACAAGAGAGCTGACAATGGGGAACACTCGTACAGACTGGGAATGAACAAATTTGCCGACTTGGTAATTTACGAATCAAATATACAAATACAGATCTCTTAACATAATTGTTACATGAACATAAAAGTCCTCGGATCTTTTGTACAAAGCCCTCACAAAAAAAAATTATATAGTGTTTCTAACTGTTAATTTTTTATAGCGTTTCTTACTGGTATTTGATTCACCAAGTTCAGCAAACGAAAGTAAACCATAGATATAGTCAATCTACATTACATCTACAATTTAGCCACAGAAAACGATATCTACTTCAGGGCTTACTTGTGGCCACAGAGAACTCTCCGTCCCCCTGGAAATGCCCAGGGGCCCATTTTGAGAAACAGCCTTCTAAACATTTCATTCCGCGTTCCAGGACTCCAATGAATTTGCCAAAATGTTCTTGGGCTATCGTAACGCAAGCGACGATAAAAAGAGAGCTGTTGAATGCAAGAAATCTAGCATCTTCGTTTCAAGCAACAACTACGCACCCCTGGCCCACCACGTCGACTGGAGAACAAAAGGCTACGTTACCCCGGTGAAGGATCAGGGCCAGTGCGGATCTTGCTGGGCGTTCAGTACGGTAATACAACTTACCAAATTTAAATTATCATTTGGGGTCACACGAAACCAGTGGTTTTCCTACACCCGCTTCCTAGAACATCCAACACCCTATTCCATAAAATTCCACATGCTGCACCTCCCTAATTTTGCGATGTGACACCATACTTTTATTTTTAACTTGAATAAAAATGTATTTCAATGCGGCGTATAAGAAAGTGACGTGTAAGCCAGCACAGACGATGGTAATCAAAATTAAAAATTGCGCTCCTAGTGGTGGTTCCGCCTTCGCGTAAGTTGAAATCTGCTGCTCAGCTGCGATAAGGTACCGGTAGACTACTGTGACGGATTGCATACCCATACTATTCTTGTTCAAATATTTGAGCATCACTCCCTTGTTTCAAATCGAGCCCTAAAGCCTTTTATAAGAAGGTTCAATTTTAACATTTATTTTTTCAATTAGACCGGATCACTCGAAGGACAACACTTCAAGGCTACCGGGAAACTTGTTTCTTTGAGCGAACAGAACCTCATGGACTGCAGTAAGCCTGAAGGAGACTTCAGCTGCGAGGGAGGACTCATGGACTATGCTTTCGACTACATTATTGAAAACGGCGGAATTGACACCGAGGCTTCTTATCCTTATGAAGCATCGGTAATTATATATAGTTTATTTGGTGCGGTTAAATTTAGTTTTGGCACGAGGCTTATTGTTTTCCACTGTTGCTTTTGTAACACTGTAAATATTGTTCATAAGATGTAACTTTTTACGTCACACTCACATGGCCCGCCAGTGAACGTGGGCAAAATGTTTGGCCCCTGATCCAAAAACCTTGCCAACCCATGCTCTAGTACAGGGGTCGGCAACCTACGGCCCGCGGGCCGGATCCGGCCCGCGACACTTCACTGAATTATAGTAACAAAACAGCTGTTTTGACGATTATATTCTTTACGTAACAGAATTTGTTGCGAGACGCGTGTAGACTAAATTATATTATAATCTAACAAGTATAAAATAGACAATTACTCGTTTAATTAGCCTATAATTTAATTATAATTAGACAAATGGCAACAAAACGCAGAAAAGTTGATGCTAAGTGCAAAAGGTTCGATGGTGCCGAATATATTCAAATGGAATTTCTTTAGATGCAATGCAATTTATCACTGCCTGATTTTTATCATAAAAAGTATCATACGTTTGGTTTTCAACTTTCTGAAAATATGTGCGGCCCGCCGATGACTTGCAACCCTCAATTTTGGCCCGCGAGCGACAAAAGCTTGCCGACCCCTGCTCTAGAATATGTTCTAAATGCCTTGTGCTCGCGGGTCCCCTTTATTCAATGAATATTTAATTTTTCCTTCAGGACGAATCCACATGCAAATTTGCCAAGAGAAGCGTGGGTGCTACTATGACGTCATGTGTTGACGTCACACCAAGGCAAAGCGAGGATGCTCTAAGGAAGGCAGTGGCTACTATCGGACCTGTCTCTGTTGCTATAGATGCATCCCAGCCGTCTTTCCAATTATATGCAAGCGGTTAGTATCTTATTTGAATTGAGAAGCACTTTGCTATATTTGTCGGGTTATTGTGGGTAGCTCAGTAGTATTTCAACCTCATTGGTTGAACGGATGTAATGTTGATGTAACATTCTAGAACCCCATTGAAGACATGTACAATATTTAAATACCAGAAGGGGTCGCACATGAATGATAACTACTTATTTGCTCAATCTTCAATGGGTATTTGTTATTTAAAAAAAATATATTCACAAAGTAGAGAATTACGAGATTTTCAAATATACAAAATATGAAAACCGACATTCATTTACTTATAAATAACACGTTTTTATTCGAATAACTGCAAAACATAGATTATATCAATCATTTGGAACGTGTAGGAGAGATTTCTTGCTATCGACTAGGTAAAGAAAAAATTCGCGTTATTGATTCTGTCTTAATTTAATTGGGAGGGCTTATATTAAAATCTTTTGCAAAATTCAGGCTAGGTCCTATTTTCGGGGAAACATAGCACTATATGTTTCACTAGCACTCTCGCTTTTGTGCAGTTTAAGTAGTATGTGTGTGAATAAATTAGCATTATAATAATAATGAAGAAACGAGATAGCGATCAGAGACCGCCGACTTATCGATCTAGCGACGTGTATCCTTCGCTCTGACTCAATAGCGACACCGCGTGTTCCATTACTAATTAATTAATAACTCGCTAATTATACGACATCATTCATTCAAAATCAATAGGCTCCTGGTCCGAAATATGATGAATGCACATGCAAAATTTGGAACAGATTCAACCTCGCTTTCGTAAGATATCGCGTAACATACGAAAGTGTCTAACAAACAAACGAGAATATCGGTTGGAAACCGAAGACTTATTGATCGATAGTTAGGGGATCCCCCAAAACAGAAACTGCAGTTTCGATTCATCCGCTCTTGTAACTTGCGCACTGAGCATCGCACACACACACTCGGCGGGTCTCAAAATTCTCTCGCTTTACAAAAATCTAGATCACTATATCAATAATTGATTGATAACTCGCTAATAATACGACCTAATTCGCCCAAAATCAATAGGTTTCTGGTCCGAGATAAGATGAATGCACATGCAAAATTTGGAGCAGATTCAACCTCGCATTCGCGAGATATCGCGTTCATCTAACAGACACACACACAGACACACAGACATACATACAGACAAATACCTCTCAACATACTCAATAAAGAATATTAGTATTTGTATTACAGCAGATCCCCAAGAGATGGAATTTTCCCCGATGGGAAAACTTTGCTTTAAGCAAACCTGCAACTATTCTATTGGCTATCTTCTTTGCCTTTCAGTTGAGAGTTTAAGACCTTGCAAGTTGCAATCCGTTAATTTTAATATCATCTATTCTGTATTTCAGGAGTATATGATGAACCAAACTGCAGTTCCACTCAACTCGATCACGGCGTTCTGGCAGTCGGGTACGGTACTGAAGACGGAAATGCTTACTGGATTGTGAAGAACAGGTAATTCCAGTCATTTCTAGTGGAGATATACCAATAGCGATTTTATACCTGACATGGGCAAACCACGGCCTGCGGGCCAAATCAGGCCCGTTGGGTAATTCAATCTGGCCCGTCTGATGCTGACCCAACCAAACTAAAACCAAATTTTGATGTTTTAGTTAAGAAATAGCTTAAAGGATTGTTTTAAATACCGGCAGGAGGCTTATTGTTTTCCACTTTTGTTATGTAACGCTGTACATATTGTTCATAAAATGTAAATTTTCCCGTCACATTTACATGGCCCGCCGGTCTGGGTAGGCAAAATTTTCGCCCTGATCCAAGAGCCTTGCCCATCGCTGTTCTATACCATAGTCCAGCGGTTCCCAAAGAGCGCGCCGCAGCGAGTTGCTAAGTGCGTCGCTATAATTAACAGAACGCCATGTTGGACATAACCAAAATATGATTGAATATTTTACATATTGTATTTATTATAAATGTTTTACTGTTTCTTATTTTACATGCTGTGTATATGAATCAAGAGATATATTTTAGCTTTTTATGTTGTTTACGTTCTGTTACGTTCTGTCTGCCTATATTGTTACGTAACGAATTAAAATTCCCCCCCAAGAGGACACGTGGTCATTGAAGGTGAAAGCCGTTTTTTGCATTTGAACACGCTTTGCGACGCAAAGCCATTGGAATTACGCATACGTACGTGATAACGGGCTGCACACCCTTCAAAATTAACACTTTTCCCTGGGCTGCACAATTTTCCCATGGCCCGCTGACCGCAGGTTGCACACCCCTGATATAAATGATGTTTATACAGATTGCATGCATCAGGGCGATGAAAATAAAATAAACGTTATGCAGTATAGTGACCTTTATTTTCAGCCTTCAAAATTGAACTATTTTGGTGACCGTACATTTGAACCCATGTGTATATCTGCGGGTTCAGTCTATATGCGGGTGCTAAAACCCGTGGGTTAGGGTTAGTATGGGTTTAAATATCCGTAAAACAAACAAAAAATTCCATAGGTGCAATAGTATGCAGATGCGATTGTCGTGGGTTAAAATTTACGCGGGTTCAAATGCAATGGAACCAACTATTTTTTTTTTTTTTTAGCTGGGGACCGAATTGGGGAGACCATGGTTACATCAAGATGAGCAGGGATAAGAATAACCAGTGTGGCATTGCTACCTCTGCTAGCTATCCGGTGGTGTAAGGAGTCTCTGGAGGTAAGATTATACAAAATAAGTTCAAATAGATTTGTCGACTAACTCCGAAAAATTCGAGTTTTCTATGGCCAGCTAAAATTCGCAGTAGCGCTATATTTCTCCTTTCTCAAGAAAAACCAGTGTGGTATCGCTACCTCTGCTAGATATCCGGTGGTGTATGAAGTCCCTGGAGGTAAGATTATACAAAATGAGTCAGATATGTTTTACTTGAGAGTCGTTCAAGAATTATAATTTTCAATGGCCAGCTGAAATTCGCGGTAGCGCTATATTTCTGCATTTATTTTATAAGGAATCAGTGTGACATCGCTACTTATTCTAGGCATCCATTGGTGTAAGGAGTCCCTTGGTGTGGAATTATACAAAATAAGTCAAATATGTTGGTTATCTAATATTTAACTAAAGGGCGGCGGTGAGGATTGCAGCAATCATCTCGCATATATTTATCTCCCACAGGATTCGATTGTGTGATCCCATGAGAATAAGTAGGAGTGCGATGGCGAGTGTATTTTTAACGCGCCAACCACCGAGTCCACACTCCGAATGATTCGAAATTCCATGGCCATCTAAAATTCGCGGTAGCGCTTTATTTCTACATTTCTTTAAGATAAATTCTAGTATCAGTGATTGCATGCACTAAGTTCTTATTTAGGAAAAGAAATTGATAATATTTCTGATTTCCAACTAGAAATTCGCGGTAGCGCTGTATTTCTCCGTTTGTTGTGAGGTATTCTAGTATCAGTGAATATTTGAAGTATCCAAGTTTGTATTTAAGAAAAGGAATCGGCAATTGATATATTTCTGATAGCCAACTAAAACTTCGCGGTAGCGCTAAATTTCTCTGTTTGTTAAGAGAAATTATAGCATTTTAAATACCGTGCTACTAAGTCCTTATTATTTAAAATAAATTGACAATCGATATATTTCTAATTTGTATTAATAGTGTATTTAGTAATTGTATTCATATATGTTATATTGCCTATTTTATGGCGGGGGGAGGGGGGGGGGGCAATTGCTTCCCCGTCCCCAAATAAGTCACCACATTATGATAATACATCACGAAATTCTCATTTTTATTTCGGGAGAGAGAAAAGCCGACAGAACGGCTCAATCATAACATGGGCCACGCCCTCTTGCCCGTCCATATCCGGTATGGTATTAGTTAGCCAGTTATTTGTTTCAAATGCATAGACCTAATGGTGGATGAAGCCTCAACCGACCAGCGGTTAGTTAGATGAACCAACTTACGGCGGTGAGGAAGCCAGCAATACACTCGCATATAATTATTTCCCATGGGATCGAACCTGCGAGCTCTTCCATAATAATCAGGGGACAATGATGCAGCGTATTCCTTGATCTTAGCTCAATGCGCCAACTTCGAACCCGGAATTAAAAATTACAATTTTTATTCACACTATATGTAATAATCTGACTTATATTCTGTTATTTTAGGTTTCTGGATGAGAGAGGACTCGCTTGAATGAATTTATCATGACGTAACAATAATGTTTTAATGACCAATAATTTTGCTGTATTTTCGCTTGTTTTTATTATTTTTCTTTTAGTGTCTGAAGCAGGGATGTACTTCGACTAGGTTTTAATAAATTGGAACAAATTAAAAACGCCAAACACTGTTTTATTGGTAACATTGTTGAATTAATGATTTTTGAATTACAATTTTAGATGATTAATTAACTAATCGATAATTTTGCTGAAAATGCTGACTCGAAATATCAAAATTCGACGAGTCATCCTTTGTAAAGTCGTTGTTATTTTCGCTGCTTAATGAAACTTTTCTGATTCGAATTGTTTACCATAATTTTTAAAATTATTTTTAATTTTGGGTAAATGATTGTAATAACCTATTAAATTTGCTTCGGTTTCGTTTTTTTTTGAGCCAATTTTAATATATAAAAAAAAAAATTAAATCGAATTAGTCCCAACATTTTTTGAATTTGGACATCCCTGATCTTTTACGCTTTCACATTATGTCTGATAAATAGCAATACTGCCTAATTAGAACCAAAATTTTAATTTTTTTACTCCGCACCCTTTAGACACGTGCACACACGCTTTGCAAAATAGTCAAGTGAGTCAAGTTTTATCTTTCCTAATGATTTAAAATAAATTTTATGGATTGGATAGGGGGGCACTTTCTGCGTGAATACCTGATTGAAAAATGAACTTTGAGATGAATATAAGATTAATTGATAACTGATGATGTGCTGCTTCTCCCACGAACGAAGTCCGCACATCTGGGGCGATTAGTCATTTGTATTCCCATAATCTAACTGAACTGGTAACCGGTTCAAAAACCGTGTTACGTTATATGCTAAAGTTATCGGTTTTCTTCTTCTGAGATGCCCGCAATCACTTTATTTAAAGTCTAATGTTCGCGCAAATGTGTCTTTCCCTGTTTTTCCCTTTCCCCAAGAGCCTAGACCTTTATTTCCTAAAAGGCGTTTTAAATTGTAATACAAATGCAATTTTCTGTCTTTTCAATTTCATCGAAATATAAGTATGATGAAAAAAGAATTGTGTTTTATTGTTGGTAGTTTGGCGAGGTTGATTTTAAATTTGCGCTTTGTGCAGAGTTGGAAGGCTGGAGTATTTTAACTCGAACTCGTCATCGAAGAGATTGGTCTTGAAACCTTTTCTATTTTACTATTTGGGGGCTCACTTGAAAAACTTTGCCGATCACTGGTTTAGCAAAACCCTTCAGATCGTTTTCTAGATATTTAGAAATTTATAATATTTCTGTTAGACGAAAATAAAAAGGATCGATAATTTGCGAGGCACTATACCCGCGAGGCAGGCAGTTGAGGAAAATTTACAATCGACTCCGGGCCGGCAATAAAAGAAAATCAAATTTCAAAAACCAAAACCCCCTGTGAAAATTATTGGCTACGCCCTCTGCTATCTCCGGCTCCGAGGAATTTGAACTTTTGGCTCCGACACCGAGTATTTTGTATATTTCGATGAGAGCGTGCCAAACTTCTACTACACAGCCTCATTCTTCAAGACAAACGACAGCATCGACAGGCTTATTTTTTAAATTTTTATAAAATAGAACAATATTGCAATAATATATCAATAACAATGTAATCCCTGACTACTTTATACAAATACGTGGAAATACAACAATTATCAGTTTATAACTATAACATTATTGCGATCGTTAAATAAATCCCATTTTTTTCTATGCTTGTGAAGTTGCCATTCTTTATTGCTGCATATTCTTTATTATCATGAATATCACATAAAACTTGAAAAAAAAAACACTCCTCAATAATCGGTTTGCGTTTCTGCATTCGGCATTTGTATATGAAGACTTTCTTTCGCTGACGATAAATGATGAATCGATTACGCCACCTTGTGGTAGTTATCTCGAGCGAGTGAATTGATTCATATGAAAAGCAGCGGTCTGGATCGAAGTATATATCGTGTTTATATAACTTGTTAAATTAAGGAAAATATATGATCCCAATTGCCATTTGAATGGCCTCTTCTATAGAGAACTATCGGCTTAGTATCATAGTCTAATCCACCTTGTGCGAGATGGAAATCTCGCAGAAAAAAAAATGACGCCATAATGCCTCAGATTTGAATTCCCCCCATTTAAGTTACTAATAGTAGCGCTCAAGAAGTATGTGTACCAATATGAAGGTAACTAATTTTGTTCGACTACTTCACATCAAGTTGTGTAAAGGAACTAAAACCTATAGGCAGGGGGTATATTCACTTGGCTAACATAGACAGTCCCCGAACTCGTAATAGAACTTAAATAAGGAAAATCGGAATAAAATTATGGCCTAACCCTAATCTGGTACACACACGATGAAAGTACCGATCTGTCGGCTTAGCATCCCATTCTCGCCAAAAATGTCGTCATCATGGTTCAGATTTGAATTCCACCCGTAGGTTATAAAGAGTGATGCCAAATTTACTCACTTTAGATAAATCAAAAAATCTTGTTTTTCCCCACTACCGGCTTAAACTTATGACCTCTGTGTCGTACTAGTCCGGAGCCTTGTTTTAAGTCAACACACTATAAAATCCAGTCACATGCGATATTTATTATTCTGCAATAACAGCGTTGTTATTTGTATCGTACCGGAGTAACGATACACCGATTTCAATCGTAAAAGGTTTATTGCATGTAACGCATTTTTGCGATAAAAGTTTTTATAGTTTTTAAGAGAACACATGATGCAATTGTGTATGTAAAAAGCAGGCATAAATTCCAAAAACTCTTTTGGAAATATAAAATTAAAAAAAGTGGGATCGCTGGAGTGACTTGCAATTTTTTTTATTAAATGTTAAAGTTAGGATAATTGCTGGACCAAATTTGATTACGTGTGATTTACTGAAACTTTTTTACATTCTGAAAAAGGAGGTAAGGATGTTTGATTGACTGTTGTGGAATAAAAAGAGATGATTGTTATCAACAGTCTCACAATTGACTGTCCGGAAAGGAGTGTACGGCTTAGGATAAGATTTACATATTTATCCCGGGGTGGAAGAAAGTCGATAAGATGGCTTAACCATATGGCGAACCACGCCTCTCACCAGTCCATGTCGGGTATGGAATTAGGGGATCAGTTAGCAAGATATTTGTTTTCAGATGCAAGGACTTGGTGGTTGAGGAAGCAGTAACCGACCAGCGATTACGTGAAACACCCTACAGCGACGAGGAGTCCAGCAATCCTCTCGCACATAATCATTCTTCACGGGATTCGAATTTTTTTTCGAACACATGAAGAGTAATCAAAGGTGCGGGGGCGAGCGTATTCCTAACGCTTAGCACGATGAGCCAAATCGCGTAGTTTACAAGGCTCCCGGGAGTTTAAAAATATCTAACCGATGACAGTTTCAAAGCTCTGATAATAGGAGTAATACAATTTCAAAGCGTTTAGCAACTCCACGTGTGGTTGATTGGCGCATATGGGGCAAATACGCAATTATATTAGGGTCACCATATTTGAAAAAGCAAAATTCCGGACAGTTCATGACTTTTTCATGACCTCGTAGTAAAAAATATGTGCACGGTACGAAATAACAATGTTCTTTATTAGCGGTGTGCACAGTACGATTACAGATGCAGTAAAATTCCGGATTCCGGACATTTAAGCATTTTTTAAATTCTTCCCGGACGCAAAATTTAACCCTGAATTCCGGACATGTCCGGAATTTTCCGGACGGTATGGCAACCCTAAATTATATACAAAACGCGAAGCGCATGGAATGTTTGACAAATCAGTGGACGACGACTACAATGCGTCTACAGCAGGGATGGGCAAGGCTTTTGGACCAGGGGACTGCCGTGTCATGTAAGTAAAAATGACGTAAAAATTACAGTTTTTGAACAATATTTACTGTGTTACGAAAGCAAAAGTGGAAAACTATAAGCCTCGTGCCGAAACAAATTTTGAACGCAATCCTAACAAATTCTTTGAGTTTTTGAACGGTGACCGTACATTTGAACCCATGCGTATATCCACGGGTTCAATCTATATGCGGGTGCTAAAACCCATGGGTTAGGGTTAGTGTGGGTTCAACTATCCGAAAAACAAAAAAAATTCCTTAGGTGCAATAGCATACAGGTGCAATTGCCATGGGTTCAAATGTACGTGGGTTCAAATGTAATGGAACCTTTTTGAACATATAAATTTGGTTTTAGTTTGACCATGGCAACATCAGGCAGGCCGAATTGAGTTCCTCAACTGGCCGGATTATGCCCGCAGACCGTGGTTTGTCAATGTCAAGTCTATAGGCTTAATTAAACTTCAAGATTATCAACTTGACCATTGCGGTGTTGTAGGCTGCTGTAGTAATGCTATGGGGAGTTGGTCTCAGATTAATCACCAAGTTAAGTCTCAAAGTCTAACTGGTTCGGTTTTAAAGAACCCGAGTCACTTCGACTCTTCGATAAATTGCGATTTCAGTCCAACTCGAATTAAGACCTCGCGCCTCCGCAACAGGGGCGTGTCAAACTTTTCTGCTTCACGGGGAGAGTTTCTGATAATGATGCCCCTTATACCTGACTTCAAAAATAATAGGGGGGATAGGAAAATTATAGATGTTGTTGTACATGAGAATGAATAAATTGGAGGTCAATTAAAGCTAAAATGTTTTTAATATAATCATTCAAATCATCAAACTAACCCCTATAACGTGCTGCCCGGGGCGGCTGCCCCTTTGGCCCTCTCTAGACACGTCACTGCTTCACAACACTAGGGTATACTCTTTTTCAACGCTAGCCATCAAATATAATTACTCTGTTATGTATTGAAAACGAAATTTACCTTTTCCAGTATATAATACTATATAATATATTTCCAAATCACATCAAAAACACAACATGAAACTGTTTATCGTCCTCTCCTGCCTCGTGGCAGCTAGTCTCGCATCAGTCCTGACGATGACGCATACGGATTATGAATGGGAAGCGTGGAAAGCTAAATACGGTAAGATTTCTTGCTTTAATAAAGTTTTCTGTCCAATACAGTATACGTTTTTATTTACAGTTTTATTCGCTAATATCGTAGTTAGCTTTAAAAAACATCGAAAAAATTATTATGTCACTCAAAATACAATTATTTCATTTAAAATTTGACAGAGAAAACCTACTACGATGAAAAAGACGAGGCTGTTCGTCGTTACATCTGGGGAAAGAACCAAGCGTTCGTTGACAAACACAATCATGAAGCCGCCCAGGGAAAGCACACATACACCGTTGGAATGAACAAATTTGCAGACTTGGTACGTATTCTCCAAATGCCGAGATTCGATTGCAAGTATTGCACAGTTTATAATCAGTGGCGTACTGGCGTATTTAGGGCAGGGCTAATCAAACTATTTTTATCGAAGATCCTCATACGAACTTTAAAATTATTTGGGTCCGGTCTTTC